TTTTTAATTATATATGTAACTTATGTGATAGACCCTTATTTGTTATTTCTACTCCTGACATTTTTATTAATGGATGTGTTTCTAGATCTATGACCATTTTATATAAATTTTCAAGTAATGAACAAACTTTTTATTTTATATCATCTCATGATTTTTAAGGTCTGTTATTCATTAAAGATATCACTTTTAAAACATCTGATCTTAGTGATCTGAGTCTTCAATTTTTTCCTTAAGTTTCATCAGAAGTTTATCAGTTTCAATAATCCTTTCAAACAATTGTTCTAGCCCCTTTATTTCAGCTTTATTTTCCTTAAGCTATTGTTTTTTAAAATCTTTATTACATCTGCTTTCTTTACTCAGGAAATTTCATTTGCTTTGTTTCACTAGTACTACACAGGTTGACTTGGGTGATTTCATCACAAATATTCAAACTTATACTCTAAAATATAAATTTAGTTTATAAAATACCCTCTAAGAAAAATATTGTAGCAAATTAAATTCTAGTCTTAGGAAAGAAAGGAGTAAAATAAACATATGACATATTTTATATGCAAATAACCAGGTTCAGAATATGAAGCGGAAAAACCCTACAAAATACAGAAAGTGATATGATAAAGTTCAGTTTGTCCTCTCTGCAAGCACTCTTTAGCAATGCAGAAGTACACAGAATTTATCAAGTGTAACAAAGTGCAATGCAGCATACAGAAGTAATCAAGTGTAACAAAGTGCAATGCAGAAGCACATAGGATTTATCAAGTGTAACAAATGCGATGCAGAAGCACACAGGATTTATCAAGTCTAACAAAGTGCAATGCAGAATCTCACAGAATTTATCAAGTATAACAAAGTGCAATGCAGCACACAGAAATAATAAAGTGTAACAAAGTGCAATGCAGAAGCACACAGGATTTATCAAGTGTAACAAAATGCAATGCAGAACACAGAATTTATCAGGTGTAATAAAGTGCAATGCGGAAGTACACAGGATTTACAAGTGTAACAAAGTGCAATGCAGCACAAAAATAATCAAGTGTAACAAAGTGCAATGCAGTACACAGAAAAGGAAAACACAGCCAACATTTTCTTAAATTGCTGATGAAAACGCAGAAATTATCAAATTTGGAAAAGTTTTCTTTGTAAAAACAATGAGCTTCCTACAGCCTGATAATGGAGCACCCCTTAATTTATTTAGGACTTCCTAAATAAAAAGGAAAAATGCTTTTCATTTTATTATACAATCTTACAATTAATTTAATTCCTAAAACTTTTAAGGTTTTTATACCTGTTATTAATTTAAAATGTTTTAAGTTTCATACATTTTAGATAGAGTAAATAAAACTGACTTTTCTATATAGTATTGCATTCCTGTTCTTGCTAAATGTGCTTTTTAAATCCACTGGTTTATCTGTAATTGATCACAATTTTCTGCTGTCTTCCACCAATAATTTCTTTATAATTCTAACATCTTTTATTTCCTTGCTTGGGCTATTGTTTCACCCATGACTTTGAATAATTAATACAAGCTTTTTGACCTTATATTTATTTCAGAGGGAAAAGTTTAAAGCTTTTCTTTGGAAAATTATTTTAATTACATATGTAAGTTATGTGATAGATCCTTATTTGTTATTTCTACTCCTGACATTTGTATTAATGGATGTGTTTCTAGATCTGTGACCATTTTATATAAATATTCAAGTGTAATGAACAAACTTTTATTTTATATCATCTCATGATTTTTAAGTCTGTTATTAAGATACCACTTTTAAAACATCTGATCTTAGTGATCTGAGTCTTCATTTTTTCCTTAAGTTTCATCAGAAGTTTATCAGTTTCAATAATCCTTTCAACAACTGTTCTAGCCCCTTTATTTCAGCTTTATTTTCCTTTAATCTATTGCGTTTTAAAATCTTTATTACATCTGCTTTCTTTACTCAGGAAATTTCGTTTGCTTTGTTTCACTAGGACTTCATAGGTTGACTTGAGTGATTTCATCACAAATATTCAAACTTACACTCTAAATATAAATTTTGTTTATAAAATACCCTCTAAGAAAAATATTGTAGCAAATGAAATTCTAGTCTTAGGAAAGAAAGGAGTAAAATAAACATATGACATATTTTATATGCAAATAACCAGTTTGGAACATGAAGGGGAAGAACCCTACAAAATGCAGAAAATGATATGGTAAAGTTCAGTTTGTCCTCTCTGCAAGCACTCTTAGCAATGCAGAAGCACACAGAATTTATCAAGTGTAACAAATTGCAAAGCAGCACACAGAAATAAGTGTAACAAACTGCAATGCACACATAATTTATCAAGTGTAACAAAGTGTAATGCAGAAGCACAGAATTTATCAAGTGCAACAAAGTGCAATGCAGTACACAGAAAAGGAAAACATAGCGAACATTTCTTAGATTGCTGATGAAAACCCAGAAGTTATCAAATTTGGAAAAGATTTCTTTTTAAAAACAATGAGCTTCCTACAACGTGATAATGGAATACCCCTTAATTTATTTAGGACTTCCTAAATAAAAAGGAAAAATGTTTTTCATTTTATTATACATCCTTACAATTAATTCCTAAAACTTTAAGGTTTTTTTACATGTTATCAATTTAAAATGTTTTAAGTTTAATACACATTAGATAGAATAAATAAAACTGACTTTTCTATACAGTATTGAATTCCTGCCCTTGCTAAATATGCTTTTTAAATCCACTGGTTTATCTGTAATCACAATTTTCTGCTGTCTTCCACCAATAATTTCTTTCTAATTCTAACATCTTTTATTTCCTTGCTTGTGCTATTGTTCCACTCAGGACTTTGAATAATAAATACAAGCTTTTTGACATTACATTTATTTCAGAGGGAAAACTTTAAATGCTTTTGTTTGGAAAATTATTTTTATTACATATGTAACTTATGTGATAGATCCTTATTTGTTATTTCTACTCCTGACATTTTTATTAATGGATGTGTTTCTAGATCTATGACCATTTTATATAAATTTTCAAGTGTAATGAACAAACCTTTTATATCATCTCATGATTTTTAAGGTCTGTTATTAATTAAAGACACCACTTTTAAAACATCTGATCTTGGTGATCTGTGTCTTCATTTTTTTCCTTAAGTTTCATCAGAAGTTTATCAGTTTCAATAATCCTTTCAAACAACTGTTCTAGCCCCTTTATTTCAGCTTTATTTTCCTTTAATCTATTGCTTTTTAAAATCTTTATTACATCTGCTTTCTTTACTCAGGAAATTTCGTTTGCTTTGTTTCACTAGGACTTCATAGGTTGACTTGAGTGATTTCATCACAAATATTCAAACTTACACTCTAAAATGTAAATTTAGTTTATAACCCTCTAAGAAAAATACTGTAGCAAACGAAATTCTTTTCTGAGGAAAGAAAGGAGTAATATGAACATATAATATATTTTATATACAAATAGCCAGGTTCAGAACATGAAGGGGAAAGAATCCCTACAAAATACAGAAAAATGACATGGTAAAGTTCAGTTTGTCCTTGCTGCAAGCACTCTTAGCAATGCCGAAGCACACGGAAATAATCAAGCATAATGAAGCGCAGCCCCGAAGAGGCTGCAGGCGGGAAGGCGGCGGCGCGCGCACCTGGGCAGCGTCGGGAAGCTGACAGCATGGCGCAGAAGCGCACGGAAATCATCAAATGTAATAAAGTGCAACGCAGAAGCACACGGAAATAATCAGGTGTAACGAGGTGCAATGCCGAAGCACACGGAAATAATCAGGTGTAACGAGGTGCAATGCCGAAGCACGCGGAAACAATCAAGCATAATGAAGCGCAGCGCCGAAGCGGCTGCAGGCGGGAAGGCGGCGGCGCGCGCACCCGGGCCGCGCCGGGGAGGCTGAGAGCGCGGCTGAGAAGCGCGCAGATTGGTCAAATGCGATAAAGTGCAATGCAGAAGCACACGTAAATAATCGAGTGTAGTAAGGTGTGGCGCCGAAGGGCCCAGAATAACCAAGCGTAAGGAAGCGCAGCCCCGAACGGCTGCAGGCGGGAAGGCGGCGGCGGTGCGCGCACCGGGCCGCGCCGGGGAGGCTGAGAAGCGCGCGGATTAATCGAGTGCGGTCAAGGAAAACGCAGACGCACACGGAGTAACGAAGCGCACACAGCGCAGCGGCTCGGGCGGGAAGGCGGCGCGCGCACCCGACTCGGAGCCGCTGCGGCGCGGACTCCAGCGGGAAACGAAGCGAAACAAGGTCTCCGCGAGTGAAAAATGACACACAAAATGTCGCCGTCAACCACGATAGCGGGGGAAAAGATGGAAGCCGGGACACTCAGGGGCGGCCGTTCACATAGCGAGCCCCGAGGCTCGATGAAGTCCGGGCTTCTTACACCGTAGGGAGGGCGAGGTAAAACCGGTAATAAAGGGACACAAAGAAACTGCCATGGGACTTCAGATAAAATAGACTCGCCGAGGCACAGAGTGGAGCGAACCGAGAGCGTATGTGTAAGATACATGAGGAACATGTTTCAGACGATACGAAATAATACTTTTTAAAGGGGAAAAGGCAAAGAATGTTAGTGTTAAAAACGAAGGATGAAAAAAAGTCAAAATGTGCAAAACGGTAACTAGAAATTAAACCCTCAACCTCCCGAGAAGGCGATGTGGGAATGAGAATTAGGAACCAGCGGCAAGCCTCACAATGGCGGCTCAGGCTGTAGCAAGAGGCTGCTGCAGCTCTGGTCTCGCGAGAAAAAAAAATGTCCGCTCCCAGATTTGCTTTACGGACTTGCCGTGCTGGTGGTGTCGCAACCGGAAGTGTCCCCCATGCCAGCTTCAGAGTAAGCAGATAGGAACCAATATTCACAGGGAACAAAAAGTGGGGGGGAAGGAAAAAAGTGTAACACTTCCGTAGACCGAAGACGCCGCAAAATTTGGCTCCGAGCTCCGGAATTGAAGCCTAATAACTGTAAAATACAAAATAGGCTCTGGAACCCTTTGTAGGGCGAGAAATTGCAATGGAAGACGCTGCAGCTCCCGGTAAAGCCTACGAGGAGGCTAGGGCCGAGGCAGGTGCGGAGGCGGTGGGGGAGGGTGTGTCTGGTCCTAATATTTTGGGGTACCAGGCCTCCGGGGTGTCTGCGGCAGCCTCCCCAGCACCTCTCCATGAGGCTGGGGTCCTGGACCCGCTTCTAGAGGCTCCCGGACCAGCCCAGCTCCGCTCCGGGCAAGCCCAGGCCCAAGGGGGCGTGGCCAGGCCTAGTTCACTTCCTGAGCACAGTGGAGGCAGCTGGACCAAGCAAATCATCTGCAGGTACTATCTACATGGTCAGTGCAAAGAGGGGGAGAACTGTCGCTACTCCCACGACCTCTCTAGGCGGCAGAAGGCCAGGGAGAGCCGTAAGTCGCCACCTCGGGCCTCTGCAGACAGAGGACCCAGTGCGGCTGCGCAGAGTGAGCCCCTGGCTCAGGAAATGGCGGAAGTCCCGCCTGCTGCATCCTCAACCTTGCCTCTGATTGGCTCAGCTGTTGTCAGGGGTTTCTTTGACGCTGCGGCCGACAATGCAGGCCTTGAAGCTGCGGGAGGCGCAGGTGCAGAAGGCTGGGTGGGGGCAATTGAGTTTGTTCCCGGACAGCCCTATCGAGGTCGCATGGTCCCTTCGAGTGGTCCTGAGGCTCCTGTACAGAGCTCGGTGACTGAGAGGGAGCAGATGGCCGTGGGCATGGGGATGCCGCTTTGCCGCTATGCTGCCAGGGGCCAATGCGTTCGTGGGGAGAGCTGTACATACCTCCACGGAGATATATGCGACATGTGTGGGCTGCAGGCCTTGCACCCTACGAATGCGCTCCAGAGGGAAGCCCATGTAAGGGCCTGCGTTGACGCACACGAGAGAGATATGGAGCTCTCATTTGCTGTGCAGCGCAGTATGGACAAAGTGTGTGGCATCTGCATGGAGGTTGTGTATGAGAAAGCCGACCCCAGGGATCGCCGCTTTGGCATCCTTTTCCGCTGTAATCACACCTATTGTCTCAGGTGCATCCGCACTTGGAGAAGTGGCACACAGTTTGAGAACAGGATCAGTAAATCCTGCCCGCAGTGCAGGGTCTCCTCCGGCTTTGTCATTCCTAGTGAGTTCTGGGTGGAGGGGGTGGAAGAGAAGGAGAAGCTTATTCAGCAATATAAGGACGGAATGAGAAACAAAGCGTGCAGGTATTTTGCTGAAGGCAGGGGTCGCTGCCCATTTGGACAGTTCTGCTTTTACAAGCATGCATACCCTGAGGGCTGGGGACGCCCAAGGCCAGGTGGTGGTGGTGGAGGACCATCCAGCATATACTGGCATCAAGTCGTGGAGCCTGTGCAATTGCGCCAGGGCAGCGTGCTTTTTAAACGCCGCAGAAAGGAGCTTGCCACGCTTCGCCTGGCCCTTCTGTTGTTTAAGAAGTTTCTTTCCCTGAGAGATGATACCGTCTTCTCTGATGATCAGTTGCTCTTGCTTCATTACCTGCTGGAAGACTATTTCACTTTGAATCTGTAACTTCGAGCTGTGGCATGTGATCTAGTCTCCTGAGGCTTTGTCTTCTGCTGTTGCCTGTTTTCTCTTTATTGACTGACAAACCTATCGCTTTCAAGGGCTGTTGAGCCAATCTTTATGCAGTATTTTCTCTCTGTTTCCTGGTCTATTCCTGATTTCTTCCCACTAAGACTGATGTGCCACTGTGTTAAAGAAAACAAAACAAAACAAAAAAACTAACAAAAAATCCTTGAAGTATTGCTCGGTGGAACTAATATTTGTCAGTTGATGGTTTGTTTTGTCATGTCTGTTTTCAATAGGATTTACTCAGTTCTAGTGTTGTGTTTACAGAATTCCCAATTGTGAAATCCCTCAAAAATAAATGTGACAAGGAGAAAGGAGAAGTCTTAAATGAATTATGAGCTTTTTGCTAAATAGCCTTAAGAAATGGACCCTGGCAGGGCCTTGCAGCTGCTGTCTGTGTTTGTTTACATGTGTGTTTTTTGCCTCCTTTTCCTTCAAGTGCACTTGTTAACTTGTGGTTACCTTGTGATTTCTGTTTTACTTGACCAAAACGAGGTGCATATGTTTACACGTTTTTATCCTGTTTAGCTTGACGTGAAAATATTTATATTTGGAAATATATATTTAAGAGTAATAAAGATATATAATATGCTTATATGTATAAAAAGCTATGTATGTGAAAAATATATAAATAAATATACATCGTAATATATGTGGAATAAAATAAATACAGAGATGAAAGTTGAACGTCAAAGTCTAGTAGTGTGAGCTGCTCTGTGAATTGTGTGAATAATCTTTGTGTCCTTGTGATGTCATTGATTAGCATCTAATAAAAATGACAGTCAACAGCAAGCTGTATGACACTGATCTTAAAGAACTTACAACACATGACACTGGTGATTCCTCTGATGGCATTGATAGACTCTCTTTTATAAATACACAAGTGTGTGTTGATATGTAGTTTCCTCACCATCTCATTATTGTTAACAGCAGATCCTGGTCTTAGACACACAGTTCTTTAAATTCAGTATTTTAGGAATATCTGTATATCTGTAGACTCTCCAAATCAAGGGGCTTTTGACAGAAGTTTTCAACATAAAAGTAACAAGATTTTAAAAGGGATAAAAATACTGAAACTAGTCAGATCACAAGAATGATTAGGACCCAGAGTTAAATATAGCAATTGAGAAAACTTACAAACGTGCCATAATTGATTAAAGTTTAAAAATTGCCAGTAAAGTTTATCTGACTTGCTTAAAATTATAAAGCTATATATAAAATGTACACCTACAATGGAAACAATTAAACAACTATGTGCTATTACTCTTTATCAGAGACATTTTATATTACATATAAATGTTGCTGGAGATAAAGGGGGATGCTATGTAAACATTAAATTGGAATTCACCAGGAATATGTAACTACTCACATTTTATACTCAACATTGCACCAGGTGTGCAAATAAATATTTGATAAATACAGAAAATGCAAATTTCAATAATTGGCATAGTTTAATACATCTTTTAGAAATTGAACAAAGAAAGAATGTGAGAGTAAAGCAAAGAGTTTTAATCATGTACCTAAATTGTATAGAATGCTGAATGCATCAGCTGCAGAATGCACTTCACTTGGCTAAGATGACTGGCAAATATGTTGGGGCCCTGAATTCAAGGATATCAGACTGGGCTATCTAATACAGCCAGCTCATTTACAGAACTTTTAACATGTACTAACATACTTCAAACTACTCATTTTCTTGTTAGAATTACCTCGTGTGGTGTTTGCCATAATTTCTCTCTTTCTGTTGAGGCAAATTAATTAGAAAGCTTCAACTGTTTGCCATAATTTGACCCGTATGTATGTATTAGTAGAAGAAGGAATAGAGCTCAAATAATTTATGTCCGGAGCACTGAAATTTACTGTACTGCCTCTTCCTGTACATACATGACTTGGAGCAGGTATCCCTGCTGAATAAAGCTACTGGAAATGCATGTGTAGCCTTCAAGTATACGTGGTTAAGCCAGTGGGTGAATGCGGGGAGATGAGAGAAACTCCCACAGAGTATTTTGGGAGCCTTGGAGCTTTTATCTATAAGCTGTCAGAATTATTGTTTCTTAGTACACTGTTTAGAATATGCCTTATCCCCTCATATTTTCATACCATGTCTCCCTTCTTTGTGATACCTGATTCTTTAAGAACCTCAGCTTATTTCACTGGGTTTTTTGGCCCTGTTTTTTCTCTCTTAAGTCCAAATAATTCACAAGTCAGGAGGCTCTGGACACCTGCCTGTTTCCCTATCAATGAAGGGGAAAGAAATCTCAGATTAAAAAAAAGGGTGCAGAAGTGGGGTACTTTAAAGACTGCTGAGAGTCAAGTCTTGAAATCCTCCAGTAGTGCAGTAGTGCCTAAGGTGTCAGGAAGGGGTTAAACTGGAAACCTCTCCTAATGCACACTGCACAACCATATGAAATACCAGGGTTTGTGTTTTTTTTTTTTTGGTACTACTGGGTTATGAGCTCAGAGCCTTGCACTTGCTAGACAGGCACTCTTACCACTTGAGCTATTCTCCCAGCCCTTTATTCAACTACTGTCTCAAACAGGCAGTCTTAATGTAGTTTGGGAGTACAGTGGGAAAAGGGCTAGTAGAGAAAGTGGCTTGGGAGACAGATAAAACTTAATGAAAATCCTGGCTCTACCTACCAGTTCTGCAGGCTAAGCAAGTTACTTAGCTCTGTATACTTCAGTTACTTCATATGAAAAGGGTACGGTGTTACCTAAGACACTCATACAATTTCAAAAAAATCTGATATATTTTTGAACCAAAATACAATTTAAACGTGCTGTTCAGTTTCTTAAAATATAGCAAGCAGCAGAAGAAATTTGTATTATTTGTTGCAGATGCCTCTGTGACGAAAATAACAAATAAGGTCATATTTTAATTAAAAAACGGAATTCCTTGTTCCCTTGTCAGCTCAATAAGTGCCATCAAACAACAGATGTCACTGCCACAAAGGCTGAATGAATTGTTCCCAACTCCTTTCCCAGGAGTGAGGCCAACCCAACTGCTGTCAGGAACAAAGGAGCCCTTGCCATACAAAGCCCTTGCTTTGTGAGTGACTCAGAGTGTGTACTATACCCCACCTATGCAAGGACTGGGGCACAGCCCTGGGACTATACAAAAAGTGTCATTCCAAGTAAAACAGAAAAACACTGGTGAAGCAATTTTCATTTGCTTATACTTCTTGTGTCAAAATTTTGTGGATGTTTGTGTATATAAATATGCCAAAGGAAAGTTACCTAGTAATCACTCCTCTTGAAGGTACAGAAAGCACTTTTGTCTCAAAGCTCACATGTCACTAAACCCATTTTAAAATTTCACTGGCTTAAAGGGACACGTTTCCAGTGTGCAATCAGTGCTCAAATGCTCTTCCATTTGCATTTTTGTAAAAGTCTCCGGAGTGTGGTTTCTACTTCCACAGCTGATGCCAACCTGGGCTTGGGATGCAGTTGGGATGGAGTAGAGAAAAAGGATGTTTGGGAAACAATCCAGTACCAGTGCAAAGAAGAAAATTAAGATATGTCAGAATTTTCACCATGAAACTATGTATCATACTTCCCAGTATTCATAAAGCACAAAAAGTGAATTATCATAAAAAAAACTGAGTTAAATTGAGAAAGTCGTACAGGAACATGTCATGCCATCATTAGCAAGAAAAACACTATCATTTGGTAAAAGGATGAATTCAGAGTCTTTTGGGGGATAGGATATGAAATGCAAACCATAACCTACAGGATACTGTGGATCTGTGCTCTGAGGAAAATTCCTAATGTTAAAAACTAATGTATGTATATTGTGTAGGTAAGTGCCGTAATTAAATAGGTGGGCACATCTGAGAGTTTTAAACAGACTACAACATGAGCAGAAACATGATTTCATAACCAGAACTAATTAAGATTACAGTAAAACTCAGTAGATCAGAAAATGGAAATGTAAAAGCTGCCTCTTTGAACATAATGAACAGATAAATCACTAATTGTTCAAAACCATGGTAGAGGGTTCAGTTACAGAGCAATGACAAGTAATCAGGTAAAACACTGAAGAAATGGGATGTAACTCTCTTGTTTCTGTGTGAAATAAACTTGAAACTTAACTTTTATCATAAATATAATATTCCAATAATCAATCCTTAAGATAAAATCTATTTACACCAGTTACTACTTAAAATTAAAGGAATTTTTCAGGAATGTACTCCACTCATAATCTTTCTTTCTCTGTCTCTCTCTCACACACACACACACACACACACACACACACACACACACAGCATAAATTTGCCCCAGAAGCTTACTCCAAAGTTTAAATAAAATGTTTTGAAATTCCACACAAACCATTTGTCTTAGTTCATTTAGGCTGCTATAGCAAGAATAGGCTAGAACGGGTGGCTTAAAATCATAGGAAGTTTATTTCTCACCATTCTGGAAGCTACAAAGTAGATCAAAGTACCAGTGATCTGGTGTCTGGTGGAATCCTACTTTCTATTTGTCTACATGTGCTTTACGGTGCTGTAAAACAATACCAGACACTACATAATTTATATATAGAGAGAGATAGATGTAAAAATATACATATGTATATAAATAAATGAAATGTCTGTCTCTTAGGTGTGGAGGCTGAGAAATCCCAAATTGAGGGGGCTTGTATCTAATTGCATTCTTACAGTGGCACACAGTGGTAATGATCATCAGATGGTGGAGGGACAAGAGGACAAAGATGTTGCATTTGGACTTTTGAGGACACACTTGTACCATAATATTGGTTCATACACAACCAATTGTTCCATGTCTTGCAGAGTAGAAAGGACTTGTAAACTCTTGGGTACCTTTTATAAAGTCACTGGTGACACTCATGAAGTGGGTCCTCCTTACCTAATCATTCTCTCAAGTCCTCAACCCATAACATTGTAATGTGGGTTGTTTTGACATGTCAATTTTGGGGAATCACATTTAATTTAATCTCCAGAGAACACAAGCAGTAATTATGGTGATACATCACAGGGATACAGGAATGTTACCAATATA